ACAATAAGAAAAAATTCCCTTAAAGTTGATCCAAATAAAGATTAAATTTGGGTAAATTGGCAAAATTGAAAAAAAAGTTCTTTTCATTCAAATTTGGCGAGAATATCCGAAGTATCACTACTAAAAAAAAACTTGGCGTTAAAAAAATGTGGGAAATTTAATTATAAATGCGTGTGTAATTAGAATGTAAGGAAATAATTAAAAATCCTAAATAGGAAACAAATTAATATTAGATTATTTTACAAATTAGTAAAGAAGAATGTCTTGGAAGAGAAGTGTGTAACACGCATAAAAAGAACGAAAAAAGGAAGATATGAATTAAACTAGACTGGTATGACTAGTATAGTAAAAAAAAAGATTTCCAACTTCTTTTATCACTTCGTGAGAGGTGATTGTTGGGAATTGACTGAATTTATAAAAAAAAAAATAAAATAAAATAAAATAGATTTCTAAATTCGGAATGTTCTCTGATATTAAAGCAAAATAAAAATTTGAAGAAAAAAAAATAGATATAATTTATCATATGACTCATGATATCATGGTCTCATAACCCGAATTTATATATATTTTATAATTTTTTTTTTAATTAATTAAATTAATTTAGGGGAAATTTTCTTAGTGTTATCGTAAGCAAATAAAAAAAAATTCTTTATTTTTATTATATTTTTTTTATTATAGTTTTTTATTCTGGTATAAATTAGAACTTTATAAGGATATATGAAACGACAGATCAGGATAAATGGATTTAGAGTTTTTAGATTGTTGGACTTTAAAATATATACAGTTTAAATTATATGGTTTCAATATCACGTACACACACTGGTACTACTAAAATTTTTTACAAATGTCACGTTTTGATTTATTTTTCCTTTCTTTCTTTACTTTCTTTAGATTTTTTAATGACGTACACGTGTTTACTACTTTTCTTGGTACTTCCACCTATTTATACATATAATATTATTTCCTATTGAATTCTTGAATACCATTTAAGAAGTTTTCTTTTTATTATTTATATTTATATTTGTATTAATATTTGTATTTATATTTATATTTATATTTATATTTATGTTTATGTTTATGTTTGTATTTATATTATTTGTATTGAAATTTTTTTTTTGTAATTTTTATCTTTTTTTATGATTTTATTACTTTATCTTATTATTATTTTAATTGTTTTGTCATTTTAATCATTATTATTTTATTATTTTATCATTTATTCTTATCCTCTTATCAGATATCAATGATATCAGGAATTCATTTTATTATGTTTTTTCTCCAATTATCAATTAACCGAATTTTTTTTAATAATAATCTGGAGTTCCAAATAGAGATAAATTAAAATTAATACGTGAAAAAAACGCACGCGCCTTCAATAAAAACTTTTGCAAAAAAAAAAAAAAAAAAAGGGAACCGGTTATTTGCATGTGTACGTAATGTACAATATGTAGTAATACTTTTTTTTTCATAATTATTTAATTACTTTGATTACTTTAATTATTTTAATTACTCTAATTACTTTAATTAATTATTTTTATTGGTTTGAATTATTATTTGTTGGACAACTTGGAATTGATTAAAATTTCCTTAAACTGTAATTAAAAAACGTTTAAACTTAAAAATAATTAAACTACTCCTACATTTAAAGATATTTTAAGTTGTATATTTCATTTATTTTTAGGTGATTTTAAACTTCGTTAAAACATCATTTTTTAAGCATCATTTTAAGCATCATTTAAAGCATCACTATCTTGTAATGTGCGAGTGGTGACTTTTATGGGATCGCACGTGTTTATAAGAATTTAGCCATTTCACTTTAATTGGATTCATTCATTAAAAAAAAAAGATAAAAATAAACATAATGAATTTTCTTGGATTCTTTAATTCTTTAATTCTTTTAATTTAAAAAAATATTATTATTATTTGTTGTACACAATTGATTACATATTTTTTTTTTTTTGTAAAAAAAAAAAGAATAATAATAATTAAAAAAATAAGAGATAATTAAGAATAAAAAAGAGGTAATTAAGATTAATAAAGGGTAATCATCAAAGAATAATAAGAGAATGAATGAATACAGATAAGAAAAAAAAGTTTTATGAAAATAATGACAATAAGAGAAAAGACAAGGACAGTTAGGGATAATGAGATAACAATAGAAATAAGAATAATAATAAAAAAAAAAAATGAATAAAGGTTTTAATATTCCAATATTTCTCAATAATTTAAAAGATATGGAAAACTTTTGATATTGAATACGCGCATAATAACTCATGATAACTTTTTTCGTATCATGCAAAAATATAAACCACACAGATAAAAGTCATACATGTTGCACAACATCCAAGTATTAAAAAAAAAATAAAAATAAAAACATTGGAAGAACCCATAAGACAAAACAAATAGTTGAATAATAATTCGTTAAAAATTCTCTTGTGTTTGTATATAGATATATATAAAAATTATTAATCATTCGTTCAACTGTTGATGTGTGTAATATAAAATTTTAAATAATTATGCATATTGAAATGATAATTTATATTAAATTATATTAAATTTGTGCACGTAACATTTTCTAATATTTTTAATTATTCATAATCTAACGTAACCAAATGAAACCTTCAATAAACGTGACGATCGAAAACAACGTTACGAACAAAAAAAAAAGAAGAAAAAAATTAAAAAAAAAGAAACCTCCAATTGAGATTATCAGGGATATTTTTTATCCCTTAAACGATATGATGACAATCTTTATTTTTTTTTAGGGGATAATAATATTATTAAAAGTTAAATCACACTTCGGGTGTTTATTTTTTCTTAGTAATAATTATTTATTTTGTTGTTTAGCATTTAATTTCCTTTTTTATTCATGAATATGTGTAATGCGTGATATTAAAAAACATACTTTAAAAAAGTGAAAAAAATGTATTTAACGTATATTATACATAAATTAGCATAAAATTCTAAATAATGAAATTAAGCATTACATTTATATTCGTATTAAATGAACAGTTATAATTATAAACAGTAGATATTTGCACAAAGCATAAGATGCATAGAATTCTAAATTGAGTAATCTAAATTGAGTAATCTAAATTGTGTAATCTGAAAGGAAATATAGGAATGAATTAATGAAACACGAATATTTTTGAAAGCATTGATATTTAGTTTTTATTAAAGAAAGGAATTAAACGCGATAATTTTTAGGGGTAATAATAAAATGATAAATCAAATGTTCATAAAAACTGCGATTATGAATTTCTACAAATTATTGTTAAAAACTTTCCCTTTTGTTTTTTGGAATGAAAAAAAATTGGTAAGATTTTTTTTTCTTATTTAGGAACAAAGAAAGAAGAAAAGAAAGAAAGAAAGAAAGAGATGGAATATTTGGAATATTCGATACAGTATATGAAGATGTTTTAAAGTTGTACATCAACAAAAAAAAAAGTTAAATGAACCAAAAAATGGATTAAATGAATCATTGACCAAATGATTTGATTTAATTAGATGATAGATCAAAAATATCAAAATGAATATGCCCAAATTTTTTTTAAAACTTTTTGCAAATCTTTTCTTTTAGGAATCTTTAAATTCCATTTTCTTTTATTTTATATATTTTATAATAAATTTTTATATTTTATAGGCCAACCCAAAAAATACAGGGGTTAGGGTTAGTTCTGGGGTAAAAATTTTGTCACCTGTTAGAATATCATTGAGCACGTAAAAACCATATTTGTCACATATCTTATTCTTATATATCAACAGGTTTTCATTCCTGTTGGTCAATGTGAACGCAGCATACATATTCATGTCCATAACAACCTAAAAAATATTTTTTTTAATCCAATCAATAAATTATTAGTAATTATTATAATTATTAGTAATTATGATGAAACTGTGATATAACAATTCAATACGATTAAACTATACCTAATATGCGTATGTATATATGATAACTATTATATTACTATATATATATATATATATATTATATATCTATGTTTCTTTTATCGTTTAATTTTCTATTAATCCAAATAGTCCAAATGTACGTTTCTCATTGACAACCTAGTAATATAATTATAATATAGTTATAATATAGTTATCACCTTTTTTGATAACCTAATAATTTTCATCCTATATTTTTATATTATACCCAGAGTTTCTTTTCTTTTTTTTTTTTTCTTCTTCGGAGATTACAATTGTAACATGATTTTATTTATTAATATCAAGTTTTATCTAGTGTTATGTGTGCGTATCTGTGTGGTGTGATTTACAACTATTATAAAAATATTTATTTATTTATTTATTTATTTATTTATTATACAAAATAGAATAAATTTAATAAATAAAAATATAAATTATCACATACGATACATGTGGTAAAAGAATAAATAACTTTACTTTATGTACACATAAAAAAAATTGTCGATTTTAATTAAATTATTAAAATACTATAATAATATAATATATAATTTATTCTGTTATTCTGTTATATATAAATTATTACTTTATTATAGTATGGTAAAAAAATTTTTTTTTATTAGTTGTAATATAAAAAAAATAAAAATCTGAAAACTTTTTTTCTTTCAAATATAAATACCGACCCATATTTGTTGTGAATATAAAAATTCACCAAAAGCAACTTTTTTTTCGTGTTTCTCTTTTTTTTCTTTAGTCGCTTTTAAAAGCTTCAATTCTCTTTTTTTTTGATTTAGATTTAACGTTTCTTATCTATTATTTCACTATATATATATATATATTTTATATATTTTATATATATTTAATAAACTGAAATAATAATAATAATAAAATTATTAGAAATTACTTATATATGTATACACAGTTTTAAATATTATAAATATTATAAATAGCTTTTTCGTTTTCTTTATTGTTCATATTCTAGAATATATTTCTCTATTATACATTTTTTTTGACTAAAATTTTTTCTCTTTTTTTTTTAAAAAAAAAAAAAACTATTATTAAATTTTGTTTATAATTCGATCATGGAAACTTCTCCATCAATTGTATCAAATATCACTGCTCCTCATGCCCCGGTAGAAGTTCGTTCTTCTTCTATCCTTCGTTACTCTTCTCCAACAGTACCTTCCTCTTCACCTCTTTCTTTGAAAAATTCTTCATTTCCTTTAAATAATCATCATCATCCTTTCTTACAAAATCCTCCTGTCTTAGGGAATTCAGATGATAGCGATGATGATGACTATGATATAGATACTGATGCTTCTTCAAGTGATGAAGAAGGTAACAATAATATGGATATAGATTATGTATATGCCCCATTTGATCGTCCCCCTTCAAGATTAGGTCGCCGTACTGTTCCCACTACTAAACAACATAAAAATTCCAGAAAAATTTCAAATAAACGAAGATCTTCATATATTTCAATTGAACGTTTAAAAGTTGATAATTCTTTCTTAAAAAATCAAAATCTCAAACTTTCATTAGAACTGGAACACTCTAGAATAACCATTCAAGCTTTAAAAAATATTGTTAATCAAAAGGATATGACTTTACAAAACTTTCGTAATGAAAATCAAAGTGCAATACTTAAAATTAGAGTATTAGAAACTTTTATATTAAGTAAACATGCTAAAGATGGTAGTATTATAGTTAGAAGTAATAATGGAGGTGATGGCATTGTTAATATCAATAATAATAATATTATTAACAACAGCAACAATAACAATAATAATAATAACAATAATAATAATAATAATAATAATAACAATAGTAATAATAATAATAATAATAATAATTCTTTCAATTCTATTAATTCTACTAATCTTAATAAGGCTGGATTAAGTGGAAAACATATGAATAATAAAAAGGATTCTTCCAAATCAACACCTTTAAAACCACAATTATCTCAATCAAAATCATTGCGATCTGTTAATAATTCTCTTCAACCATCGCCATTATCTTCTTCCACTATTACTACTACCAATAATAACTCAAATTCATTATCCCAAACATCAACAACAATAACAGCAGCATCATCATCATCATCTCCTTCTTCTCATCTCCAACCTAAAAGACCAAAACGTCAAAGACGTTGGTCAATTGATTTTGGTCCTCGTAATCATCTATCATTGGATGATGATGTTGACACTACATTATCAACTTCTTCGCGTCGTTCACCTACCTCAACAATATGTACCAATGAACAGCGATCTACGGAATCATCACGTGGTGGTATGCTTAAACGTAAAACCGGAGATATTATTCAATCCTTGGCATCATGTCGTCCCACAAGTACCAAAATTGGATATGATTCGGATTCAGGAATTAGTGGCGAGGAAAGTGACCCGGAAGTAGAAGATTATGAAGATATTAATGAACAAGTTATTAACGAAAAATTACAAAAACAACGAAAACTAGGAAAACGTTTTCTTAGAATATTTTCTTCATCTCTAACCAATAATACTCTTACGATCAATCAAACTCCCACAACAATGACAACATCTGTTACTCGTAATTCACAAAGTCGTCAATAGTTAACATTAATACTTCTTTGTTATTCGAATGACATCTGCAGACTTTGATAGACTTTGATTATCGAGTATGAGAGATTTATCACGTCGAATTCATCTAATGCAATTAAATTATCAGAACAAACAAACATTTCCATAATTGAATTCTTTCAATGCGTAATTACGAAAAAAAAAGTTTATATGTATATTTTTGCCACCCTTACTATTTTGTAAATTTGATGAACCAACCATCTCAAAATTCATTGTTACACACACCTTTATTCATCAAAAATAACGACAATTAAACGCCAACGACAACAACGAACGACGACGGGCAACTCGCGAGTACCAATCGAATGGGAATGACGGAACGCCGCCGATAATAATTAAAAAAAAACGGAAAACGGAAAATGATATGACAAATTACCCTACAAGACTATTCTTATTAATTTAGTAAGGATTTTCAAAAATTTCTTTTTGATTTTTTTTTTTTAAAAAAAAAAAATCCCGGTAAAAAAACAAACGCCAACATTAATTTATAAATACACTTAAAAATTAAAAAAAAAAAGAATAATAATGTCACCCATCATCATTATCTTAATGAAAGAACCGTAGAAGTTCTTGTGAAAGGATGTTTAACCATCACACCATATAAAAAAAAAAAAAACTATTGAATGAATACATTAATGGACTTACGAATATCATGAATGAACACTTTAATGAACTCCTCAATAATGAATTATCAATTTCTCTTTTCACACCATTATGTATATATATATTTTTATCTATTTATATATACACACATACCATAAATAATAAGTGATGAAACCTTTAAAAATATAATAAGTAGTGTAATTTTAGTTCGCTCTCCCCCATAAAAAACTAACTTTAAATAATAACTAATAATAATTTATATATTCTTTTCAAAATAATTCATACATAATTAGTTTAGAATGAGAAATTGAAAGTATATAATTAATAGTTAAGGAGAAAATAATAGAGAAGAGGAATTTGTGGGGTAAAAAAATGACTCATATTGATTTCTTTTCTCCCCCAACAATTTCTCAACACCTTTTATTTTTTAATTTCCATCTTAGGCAATCTAAGTGAACACATATTATTTCCGTCTACTTGAAAATTAATAATTGTCTCCTTATCTTCTTTCTTACATACATACACACATATACACACACACACACACACATACATAATAATAATAATCTACTTTATATCATTTACGGTATATGATTTTTATAATTTTTTTATCTTCTAAAATTATTTAAATCAATCAATCACAACTTAAAAAAAAAAAAAAAACTTTTCCATCTTTCATCTTCATCATCATTATTATCATTATTCACCACCACAAACAAAACTGTAGGCTAAATAAAACTATAGCATTAGGAAATTTATATATATATTTAAATATTTAGATAATCTCTTCTTGTAGGATACTTGAAACAAACTTTCTTTATATTGTAGGATACTTTTCCCTTTTTTTTCCATAATTCATCTTTCTTCTTCTTTTGTAAGATATATACAAAATTTTCATCAAATCAAACTCATGTATATATGTAGATAATTTCTCCCTTCTTTTTATATAACCTGTAACTTTTATTTTTTTTTTGATTTTATTTTATTTATTTGGTTTTTGTTTTTTTTTTTGTGGATATTTTATTTTGGTTTTTGTTTTTTTTTTGTTAGATATAACCTTTTTTTTTTATTTCTTTTTCTCTGGCAAATTTTTAGATTTTTTTCTGATTCGTTTTTTTTTTAAAAAAATCTTTGGGATTTAAGTTGGTATTAGATTTATTTCTTTGGTATTTTTTTTGGTATTTATTTATTTATTCTTTAGCTTGGTTATTTGGTAAACAATTGACATTAGGAAAAAAAAATTCACACTTCATCATCATTACCACTTATTTGTAGAGATAAAAATTCATTTTTTTTTTTTATTTGCTTAATTGAATTTTGCAAATAATGCACGACAGAAAAAAAAGCATAACAGTTAATAAAGAATGAAAAAAAATTGGCATCATATTTATTTGTTTAAATGAATATTTATAAATATAACGAAGTATAATAGTTTTTTCTTTGTAAATATATATTATTATTAATACATGTGAAATCATAAAGTTGAGACTTTTTATGAACGATTCGAAAACGATAATTTCAGTATTATTTTTCGTGCATTTGGAAACAAATGATAAGACAATTGCAGAATCTGATAATTTTCGCTTTCCGAAAAAAAAAACATTAAAAAATACGTGTTTATTTTTCTTTGTTGTCTTTTTTGCTAAATAATAATAATAATAAACCGAAATAAAATAAAAGTTGGAGAAAGAAGTGCGTTCCGTAATGAGTGGCTATTTGACTAAGCTACCTTGCGTGTGTACAACCATGTGTTTGTGCGTAAAAGTATAAATTATTTTAAAAAACGTTTCTAGTAAGACCTAATCCGTTAAAAATCGTTAAAATTGGAATCTGTAACTTATATTGAGATTGTTTCAACAAACAACATTAGGTAAAATTAAATTTTTCTTTTTCATCATCTGACAATTTTTTTTTCGATTTCGCCACAGTTCGGCAAAAAATTATTTCTCGGTAATCAAAATTTTACTGCAGAAATTTATACATTTAAGGGTAAAATGAATTTCTTTGTTCCTACTTAAGATAAATGTGAATATAAACCGCGACAAAAGAAGGAAAAAAAAAAAAAAAGTAAAAATAGTATAAAAAAATTCCCGACATCCGCTGTTTATCTATCTTTTCTCATACTTGAAACATGTGGCGGAATGTTAGACCCAAATTTAGGATATATGAAATTTTTTTGTAATAAAAAATATGTTAACTTTTTTTTTTTTTTCTTTACGTTAAAAATGTTCGAGAATATTTTCTCTTGAAACCTTTATTACAGTATTAGAGTGTGTAGAGTTTGAAATAGGATATAAATTTTTTTCACATGGGGTGATGATTAACTCTTTGTTTTTATTATCTTATTTTCTATTAAAAATAAAAGCTGCATTTAGATTCATTGAATCTTACAAGAGTAAAAAAAAAACATTATAAAACATCATTATTATGCAAAATCTATATAAAATAAAACAACGAGGATTGCGTGGTAATTAAAGTTTACGGCGTGCTAATACCAAAAATAGACAAAAAAACAAGTAATATTAATTATATCACCAACACAAAAAAAAAAAAATACAAACCCGAAACCTTTCACTGCTCTATTAAATATGCATATTCCAAATTTAGATTAAATTCTCACACTATTTAAGGATTTTGATATAATTAAACTTGGTTTTGGAACGTGATTGTTAAAAATTTTTTTTTCTTGTAAATGATTATTATAATTAAACAATTAATTAGAGTACAATTATCTAAGAGACAATCAGAAAGACCAAAATTAGAAATCACAGGATTGATTATTTAAATCTGATAATAATAATTAAACGAATTAAAAAAAAAGAAATTTTAGAGAAAGAAATTTAGAGAAAGAAATTTAAAGAAAGAAAAATTTAACGAAAGAAATTTACATAAATGAAAATTTAGAGTTGAAATTTTATAGAGAAACAAAAATAGATTATAATGAGATGAGATAAATGATAATAATTGATAATAAATTCGGAAGCTCGAAAAGAACATTTTTTTTTTTATATTATATTCACATGAGTGTTTGCGTAGCACATTATGTAAGTAAATATAAATGCGTGAATGTAAATGCATGAGTTTTTTAGAATTTCGAATTAATTAAAGTTTAATATCTAATTTAGATAATTGAAATGTTTTAAAAAAAAAAAAAAAAAAAAAAAAAAAAAAAAAATCAAAACAAAAAAAAAGTGTGATTATAATCATAACCACGTCTAATGTGATATTTACTATTAAGAATTTAAAAATTTTAATTAGTTGATGGAAGATTTTATTATATTGTTTTCAATTTTATTTTTTTTTCATTGACAAATCCTAATATGATTTATAGGTAAAGTGCTACCAAACCTAGTTACAAATAATAATAATATGGTAAAAGAATGTTTTGTTGTTAACCTTTCACAAATGACGAGATGTTTATCCACAACACAAAATTTTCATAATATTCATCCATTATGTTAAAATTCATTAACCTGTTTCTCAACAGGATCAAAAATCCTCTTCGAATATTTTCTCCTATTGTCTCTAGCCGATCTTAACAGTGACACTCGCCTTATTTATCATAATTTATTTATTATTATTTGTTAACCATTCAACTTCATTTAAACGTGGAAGAAAATTTTCAAATTTGCCTATTGTCTCAGGCTCAAAATTTTTAGCAAATAGTAAATGCACAAAGAAGTCAGAATTTATAATTTAAAATTGGTACTACATTTTTCTTTAAGAACATGCCTATTGTTCTAACACAATTAAGATTATTATTAATTATTTTTAGTAAAGAATTATTAACACAAAGATAGTAAAATATATAATCACAAATATAATCAAATATAATCAAATATAATCTTATTGGTAGATAATTAATCTTGTTATGGTTTCTCATTATCTGTTATTTTATTATTATTTTTTTTTCAAGATCATATAAATAAAAAATAAAAGTGCATGATAGGAAAAGTTTAGTAAATATTAATGTTAGTAAGGTTAGTAAAGTAGTAGATCGGTGTTCAAGAAATTTATAATATCTTGTATGTCATTTAATTAATTAATTATTTATTTATTTTAAACATTTTGGCAATTCTTTTGAATAATGAATATATGAAAAATGATAATTAAGACAAAAGGTTCTATTGTACCAATTTAACCAATTCTTTATAACACAATATAACTGTGATGACTATACGATTATTATGTGATAATTATGCAATAATTTTTGGTTGGTGATATCTGAATAAAAATTCTATTGAAATTTATTATATTGTAGTATTTAAGTTGAATATTTACTATTCGTTGAAAGTTTATTTTATAAAACTTTGTATAACAATTGACCTTGTAACATTCTACTAATATTAAAAATTCTTAATATTCTATATATTCTATACAAAAATCGCGGTAGATTAAATCGAATTAATCACAAATATATGTATCCGATTTAAATTTTTTTTTTTTTGTGATTAAAATTTATTTTCTTTAAAAGATTAAGTTCTGCGATATTATTCGACATATAATGGAATTCCTTAATATAGATCAATAACTTTAAGAAAATAGTTCCAAATTTGTAAGCCATATTAACTATATAATGTTCTTTGGCTATCTCTTCTATTTTCACAGTCAATCTTTTTTTTCGGTTATTTCTAAATTTAAATAAATTAATTAAAATAAATAAAACTAAAATAAATAAAATTAAATAAAATTAAATAAAATTAAGTAAAATTAAATAAAATTAAATAAAATTAAATAAAAATTAAATTATCAGCTGATTTATCATGACTTATTAATTTTATTAAACTATGTAATGCAATCAACAGAAATGATTATTATGTATTCAATTCTAATATTCAATTTTAATATTCAATTTTAATATATAAATTCTAATACTCAATTCTAATACTCAATTCTTTGAATTTTTCTTTTTTGGGAATATTGGATGCTATCCATTTAGATTTTTAGAAGATATTTAGAAAGAAATAAATTGAATACTAAGAGAAAAGATATGTTCCTGATGTAATTCTATTTACAATACTAATTAAGCAAGACTTCCGTTGATTAACATCCTCTCTTGGTTACGTATATTTTAAATAAAAATAAAATATATAACGTTACTTACAATTTTTTTGAAAATTATTATACATGCATGAAGGCTAATCTTGTTAATATAAAAAAAAACGATTATAAGATATCTTTAATATGCATCAGTACATCGTATCTCTAAAAAATTAATTGTATATCGGCATTTACCTATTTTCTTTAGATCCATTGAAAAAAAACTATTAATGTAATTACCAATTCAAATTTACGATAACCCATTAAGAGATAATATTTTTCCTTATAAACATTATTTTATTATGATTTGTTGTTATCATATCTTCAATTTATTTGTGTGATTCCTTTTTATATCATTTATTTCACTTATGCAACCAACAGAAATCATGTGCTCTAATCAAAACAAAAACATCAACGTACGGAATGATCTTTTTTTTTTGGCGTGAGTAATTACGCAAATACCTTTACCAAGAAACCCTGCAACGGTACCAAAAAAAAAAAAATTAATTTAGCTACATTTGGATAATGTGATATATTTAATGTTTTTTTTCACCATTTAATTGATATTATATTAGTCTTTGATCCTTTCTCTACTTTTTCACATATATGTATGCATCCCAAAAATAGAAAACAATAGTGACAATTCCTTTTTTTCTTATTAGTTTATGAAATATTTTTTATAATATATTTATATTATACACACGTGATTTATAGTTGCGTCATTCGCGCAAATGTATTCTTCATTTATTCAATTCTAAATTAGAACTATAAATGGTATTTTCATTTATGGTTCTCTCTTTCTATTTATTGTATACGGAGAGTTTAAATTTTTTACATTGTCATTTATCACACGATTCTTCATATGAAAATTACATATAAATTCGATCATATGCAATAATTTTTTAATTTAATTCATATTCAAAAGAGGAAAAGTTATAAAAAAGGTAGATAATAAAATTTTGAGTGATACAAGAAAAGCTATTTAATCCCAGAAGATCATCATTTCTCTCCCACATTTATTTATTTCAAAATTTCAATAATGTCAAATGATATTAGAGTAAATGTTGTTGGTGCGGGAGTTATCGGTCTTACTACAGCATTAATTTTGCAACGACTTGGATATAAAGTTCAAATTATTGCTGAGCATTTTCCTGGTGATTATAATATCAATTACACCAGCCCTTGGGCTGGTGCTGATTGGAGGTTTGAGAAGAGCCAGGATAAAAGTATATAAATTATTAAGAAATTTATATTTTATTTTTAAAGAATCAAATTAATTCATGTAATTTCTTTATTTTTATCCAGAATTTGACAAATTTCTTGAAAGTACTTACAAAGTATTATCCGACTTATCAAATGAGCCAGGAACCGGAGTAATCCGGTTACCCTGTTATGAATTTCTGGATGAAAATCCAGAACTAGAAATGAATTTGGATTTTCTTGATGTAAAAATAAAATAATATATATATATATATATTTAATATAATCAAATGTATTAAAGATTCAAAAGTAATTTTTATTTTAGCTTAAAAAAATTCCTTCAGAAGATCTTCCGCCCAATACAAAAGTAGGACTTTTGTATACAACGGGTAAATTTAAATGATTGATTTTTATATTTAATGAATAAAGAACCATTTAATAATTTAATTTCTGTCAAATTTTATTTATCAGTAACTATTGATGTTCCAAAATATCTTCATTGGCTCTTTGATCAATTTATCTATGCTGGTGGTGCAACTCGTAAGGTGCATATTTCTCATATCAATGAAGCATTTGAAGATGATGTGCATATTGTTGTCAATTGCACAGGGATTTGTGCAAAGACATTAGGTGGAGTAGAAGACAATAATGTGTACCCTACCAAGGGTCAAACTGTATCTGTTTGGGCTCCTCACGTAAAAGCCGCATATTATCAAATCGGTAAATTCCTTTACCGTATATGAGAATGTCAAATATTATATATATCTATTTATTTATTTATGTATTTTTGAAATTTCTTATTTGGTCATTTGTAAAGATCGGGATGTTATAACATATATCATCCCGAGAGAGTCGGGGGAAGTGATTTGCGGTGGGATCAAGGATGAATATAATTAGTAAGTATAGCAAGTACAAAACAAATAATATTTTTGGGAAACCAAATTAATTTCAATTGTGTCTTTCTAAAGTACGGCGGAGCCCGATCCAAAATTGGCGGAGGACATTATTCAACGTTGTGCAAAACTTTGTCCACAGTTAATAGCAGGACGAAGCACAACCGATCTAAAAATTATGAGACACAATGTCGGACGAAGACCGTCTAGACTTGGTGGTACCAGAATTGAAGTAGAAATCAAAGAGATTTCGAATGGAAAAACTGGTATTATTTGTCATAATTATGGACATCATTCTTATGGTAAAATGTTAATAATATTATCTTGATAATTCTTATTAAATTTATAAACATGACATACTAAAAAAATTGAATTTTTAAATGTAAATAAATGTAATTAGGATACGCATCAAGTTGGGGTTCCTGTTCATGGGCCGTCGAACTGATTGAAGATGCCATAAAAAAACATCCAAATCTTATAATCAGTTCCAAGTTATAAACTATTTATTTTTAAGATAAATTTATCAGAAATATAAAGGATTACCAGAATTTATACTTTAATATTATTTATAATAAAATTAAATTTAAAGAATTATTTTATAGAAATTCTAAAAGTACTCTTTCAAAGAAGAAAATTAATATTTTATATTATGAATTCATCAATTCAACTTTATAAATTCATTATATTAAAAATAAATTAGAGACATTCATACGACCACAATTTTTTATGAATTGGTTAATGCAAGATCTTTATAACAATGTTTTCGTTGTTTAAATCAATAAGACACAAACTGTTAGTTGACTTAGGGAAGTTATCAAGAACGAGAAGGCTTGCTATTACAGATCAAATTATTTTATGGAAAGTTGACATCCTTCTCACTGAATCAAAATGAAAAGTTTAAAGTACTTAATGATATTATGGAAATAGCAATTAAATGAACTTACAAATATCATTGTTTAATGCCCTACCTGGTAAGTAAAAGTTGTATAATTTAGTTTCTGTTAAAAATTCGAATAAAAAATTATGAAGTAACCCACAACTTCAATTCTATTCGCCATTGCTTTACATAAAACACAGTTTATATTCAAAAGTATGATTTAAAAATTCACCTTTATCAAAGTAGAACTTGATCATATGCGGGTTGATATATGATTAACATAATAAATCCCAAAATATCCATGCAAAGAGTATGATTGTATAGGGAAATCGAGTCAGTTTTATTGATACAAATGAATCTCAGATATTAAACATGTACGATTTCTGACGTATTCTTTACGTCCAATTTGATCTTTTATATATATATATATAGTCCAAAAATGTTGAAATTCGACCTTAATGTCTTACATATTCATTATTGTAAACACCTTTATCAAACTTCCAATAATCTTTTTTATTACCATTACTATTGGAGTTGTGGTATGCAATATTTATTAGGTTGAATTATTATTTTCTCAAATTACGCGAATAACTTAAGCTTCTTTTAGTTCTTTCCTATTCTCTGCGTTTATCTGCTGATTGCCTCAATCACTTATTTCGGTTATCTCGAATTCAGAGTTATTGTCTGGATTCTGAAAGGTCTTAGAATACTTCAAGGTATATAGCCAATTATCTCGTGTAACATAAAATTAAATATAAAATAGACCAAATTTCAAAATTTTTTTTTTGCTTTTGATGTCTAAAGCCAACACAAGACTCCGTTGGATTTAAAAAAAAAATGTCTAAAGCCAACAGCCATAAAGTAGATATTGATAATTTGGACCTTAAACGTACTTATACGTTTGAAGAGTTCGAATTAATCAATGAACTC